TGGATTTTTACTTTCTCAGTCTAAGCTAATTTTTACTTTCTCAGTTCAGTGACTGTGGTCTGGGTGAGTTTTCATTTTTAAAATTCACTGAAGTTTTTTAGTGGCCTAATTCATGTTCTTTGGGTGTTTGGGAAGAATTTGTATTTGTGGTTAGGTAAAAAGTCATATAGGTATCTTTTATGAAGTTTCTCAAATCTTATTTTTCCTTATTTCAAGTCTACCCAGTCTGTCAATCTCTGAGAAATGGGCTGAGGCTATAGAAGTCTCTTCTCTCCCACTTCCCATCTGTCTCGATAATTGCACTTACTTGTATTTTGGGGACATGTCAGGCTTTAATTCTGAATGGATTTCTCACTTTTCATTGACTGGTGGAAAGCCCCCAGCCAGTTGTGCAGTTACTGTTAACAAGTGCAAGATGGCATACTTTTTGTCTTTGTCAGGATGGGGATTCATCTATAATGTCATTTCAATTTCAATTTTTTTCTACTTTTATTTTCCTTTCTCCCTGCTTATATCGCTCATTTAAATCTTTACCTATTCCAGCACTTGCTTGCAAGACACCCTGTATCTTTTTATTAAGCTGAATCTTAATATATTCTTTAGCATGTTACAAATCTATTTAAACCTCTAACTTCTACTGGTTAAGAATGCTGTAGCTCCCTTTTCTTGTTTTATTCTTATTTATTCATTAGTTCCTGAACTAGATGAGATGAGGCAGAGCATGTATATCCTGTAAATATGTAAATGTCTCCTTTTACTATAGGATTTTAGGTGTATAATAAGTCCTGTTCTATACTAGTAATTATATACTGTTCTGCTCTAGCTAAAGGATAGAAGAAAGTATAACAAGACCTCCACTTGTTTTTTTTTGCTTGTATTCTGTTAGTACAGATTCATTAGATATCATATATTGCTGAGCTCTGTGAATCTAGGCAACATACCTTTAAACTCAGCCCAACTGTGTTTCCAGATTATATGCAAAACAGATTAGAACAAATATCCAGTAGTCTGATTAATTTAGGGGATTATTCTTAAAATCTATGAATAATGCTAATGTTAATACCTTGACAAAGTTACCAACTTTGAACCAAAATTTCCTTATTTATAAAATGTAAGGAAACTATTATACTTCGCAGTGTTTTGATGTAAATATTATACACATAAGTGTGTCTTAATGCACTTCTCTGGGTTTCCTGATTTCTTTCTTCCATATGTTATTTCCCTTTTGGGTACAGCATTTTACTTTGATCAATATGGCCAGTGAACTGGTTTAATAAAATATTATTTTTCTGCCCTCCAACAATCCACAGAGAGGTGAGGAGTGTCAGAATTGTCCCCTATACTTGATACCCTGATCAAGAGTTGCTGAAATGGGCTCATAGGGAAGTGAAGCTGGAGTCTGCCCACATTCTGCCTAACTACCAGTTCACTTGGAAGCTGGTGAAAGCAGACTGCTTTTTCCAGAACCCAGTGAGCTGCTGGTCACACAGGGTAAGACAATGAAGGGAAAAGTTCCCAACTTTTGGCTGTGGATCTAGAACCATTCTGGAGATAAAGGATTCTTACTTGTGTGACAAATCTGTCTCTCCAGTTAAACAATCCTAAAAATTTTCCCTCTTTTTTTTTTTTTTTTTTTTTGAGCTAGACACAACTCAGAAAGCTGCTGATTCATGAACTGATGCAGCCTGTGTTGAATGGAGAACTGCAGCCCCGGTCCGTTTCAGCGGGACAGAGCTTCATAGGTGCTTCGAACTGTCTAGTAGCAGATCACTTACAGAGATGTGGCTATGAGTATTCTCTTTCTGTTTTCTTCCCAGAAAGTGGTTTGGCAAAAGAAAAGGTAAAGTCCTTCTGTTTCTGTTTCTGAATTGTCTGTTAGTAGCTTCTCCCTCAGACCCTAGTAAAGTGCTGCCTCATGGCTAAGTGCTCCTTGGTCAGCTAGGTCCATTTCTGTTCATCTTTGAATTCATATCATATATTTGTTAATATAATGTAACAAAGGAGGGCCAGATTTGATTGTTACTGTTACCAATTCCTTGGAATCTCAATTAGTCTTCTGTAAAATTGTGTGGAATCACAAATGTTTTGGAGCTAGAATTGATCTCACATTCCATATAATCTCCTAAATGTCAGAACTGCCATTTTTATGTTGGATTTCTGTTGTGAGCTTGGCGCTGTGCAGGTCACACTGCCGGTGTTCTGTGTATTACACATGAGGGACCAGAGTGAGGAGAGGTGAGGGGATTCGCTCGAGGTCACATGATTTAGAAGTGGCAATGCAGGACCATAAGTCTAGAGCTCTAAAATGTGCTCATTTCACTATGCTATGGTCTCTTCAGCTATTTCTCTTTGTGATTAAATGTGAGAAATGAAGAATACATAACTCTGAAAACTGGAGTTCTCAAAACACATGAGTTCACCACTTCTCAAATTATTTATATTTCTTCACCATTACCATTGAATGTAGTCACATTTTATTATTTCAGATATAGCAAACTTTCCCTATTTTTTTTATTAGATTTTTTTTATTAGAGCAGTTTAGGTTCACAGCAAAATGGAACAGAAAGGGAGAGTTCCCATATGCTCCCTGCCCCCACAGGTACACATTTTTTTTCTTTTTTTTACTATGTACATTTGTTAAAATCAAAGGACCTATGTTGCCATGTCATTATCACCTAAGGTCCATAGTGTACATTAGGGTTCACCCCTAATGTTGTCCCTATGTTTTTATTCCCTTTACGTCATCTATAATTGTCCAAAAGTTTCATATCCAGATGTCTTGAGAAAATAACAATATTACTATTTGAATGAACTTAAAATTTAGTATGCTGTATTTACTAACAACCACATTTTATTTATAAACATTAGGAACTCTTTTTTTTGGTCCATCCATCTCTAAGTTTTCATTTACATTTTACAATTTTGCTTAATTGCGTGAGAAATAGTCAATTATGTAGTTATAGCAGTAATTAATCCAGTTCACACCTACAGGTTTCTATTACTATAAAATGCTTACAGGATACTTAAAGGAAAACCAATTGAAAATAAATATCAGGGTAGCTGTAGTAAATGCACTGTATGGTGGTAAAATATATATTAAGAATAGCTACCCCAAAATATTTAAAACTATGTTAGGTATACTTTAGTCATTCATAGCTGTAAAGGCAATGAAATTTTAGTTTATTTACATTTTGAAGCGAGTACTCTAAACAATTCATTGGAGTTGAAAGACCCTGGAATTCACTAATGAATTTATTGGTTCATCAGGTAATTTGTGTTTCTCATCTGTAAAGCATTAACCATTTCTGTTTTTTCTGTTAGGCATATCATCTTTTATATGAGGTATTTGAAGATTAATTACATAAGAAAACTGTTTTACACTTTGACCTCAATATGTTTATTCTAATTTATTTAATAGTGTAAGAACTTCAGTTTTGTATTAGCATGTTTGTAATCCTATTTTTTAATCTGAAGCATGATTCTTAGTCTTCAGAAGCATCCTAATTTATCACGTAAACACTGATGTAAAAATATCTCTACTTAATTCTTTTTAAGGTATTTACTATGCAGGATTTATTGGAACTCATTAAAATCAAACCTGAATCCAGTCTCTACAAATCACTGGTAGGATTGTTGAGTTTTTATAACCTGTTCATTTGTTAATTATGACTGAATAGTTGAATAAAGGTAAAATATTTTCTTTTAACAGATTTCAGGATTTGATAAAGAAAACCAAAAAGGTAGGAGCCTTCATCTTTGTAGAGAATAGCAACATTTTTTTCCACATACTTTTTTCTATAAAAGCATGAAACTAATCATTTTTAAGGGGAAGAGCAGGGGATTTAGTTCCAATTAAATCATTTGATTTTTCTTGCTGACAGTACCTTACCTTTTAAATAAACAAAACAATTCATCTGTTGTTTTAATGAATGCAGACTGTTTCCTCCCAATTTCAACCATTTTAACAGCTCTTAGATACTCTAGTAAGACAACTGCATACAATATCAGATGCCCTTCCAATGGATTGCACAGTCCTCTTTGTAAAGATACTCACTGTGTGGAACATTTACACACATGTGCATGCATGTGAATGCACACACACATGAACTAATGACATTTAGGCCAAGTGTCTCTGTATCCTAGATATCTCCCTCAAGTACAATTTATAAAGTATTAATATGTGCTTAATAGAGTATTAATATATGCTTAAAGAATGAAATATCTGTTCAGTAATAAAAATTCTGTATATATTAAGTGTTTATATAGGCTTGATAAATTAACTTTGGCCTTTCTAATAACTTTCATAGAGTCCATAGCTGCTATGGGTACCAGATCATGGGCTAAATTTGACGATGGACTTGTAGCATGAACATAAGCTAGCAACTTTCCTAAAATGCATGGCTCTTTAGGTCTTCTTAAATCATCTGTTACTTTATGTAATGATTCTTTTGCATTGGTGCGATCCGTGACTTTCTCTTCCTGGCATTGCTACCACCCCGACTGGGGCATTCATTTAGTACTTAACAGTTAGAAGGCATTTGAGTACCTGCTTTGTGCCAGCCATTAGTCTGTGACTGAACTGCCTGGTCTCTTGGGAGTAGTGTTAGCAGAAGATAAGTGAATAGGATCACAAGGCATTCTGGAGTACCTGCAAAGAAGGTCACCCATACTGAAGTTCTCTGTGGTAAGTGAGGCTGTATTCTCTGCTAAGGCAGTGCCATCTGGTATAACAGTGAGGATGACAATGTCTATCTGTTGTGTCATATGGTTGCCACTAGCCACATGTGGCTAATGAGCATTTGAAATGTGGCTAGTGTGATCGAAGAACTGAATTTTGAATAGCCACACGTGAATAGTGGGCTCTCATTGGACAACACAGGTCAAAGGTATTATGATAGTGGGTATCAGTAGCTTAATTCTTATTTCAGAAATTTAGGGCTTGAAGGGATATTAAGAAATGATCCCCTTTCTGTATTGTAGGTATTTAATATTACCCTTAAAAAGTTTTTCCCCTTTACATACTCTTTAAGTGCTTTTGGTTCAGAAAGACATGTGACTAAAAGATTTCACCAGTTTAGGCATCCTAGGAAAATTTCTGAAACTCGGGAAAACTATGAGTAGCAGACATGTCTGGCACCCTAGTGACAAAATTTGAGTAGAACTCTTTGCTAACAGTGAAACAGTTACTGTTAAAATGTAGTGATTTTAAAAATTGGTGGTTTCCAATTAAGAGACTGAGACCATCAGAAAACATGTGGGAAGATATTTTGTACCTAACTGTTGTCTATCCCATGGCAGATTTGTGGTCTTAATGTCTATACTCCAGGGGTGCTGATATGTTGAATGGCCATAGTACTTTTCCCCCAGATACTGCTCCCCCATCCTTCCCACCCCTAATTTTTCCTTTCAGAGATAATGATTCTCAGAAAAAGCAGGGCCAGAAATTTAGATAAGGGCAGAAAATTTGGAAATTGGCCCTTCACTTTCTGGAAGATAAAATCCTTACCTGTGATTGGCAAGTGAATAGATACATAGATCAATTGGACAGAACAGAGAGCCCAGAAATAGATTACAGAAATAGAATAAATTGGTTTTTGACAAAGGACAAAGGAAATTGAATGAAGGAAGGATAGTCTTTTTCAACAAGTGGTACTGGAACAATTGGATATTCATGTACAAAAATGGACCTAGACACAGACCTTATACCTTACATAATTCAAAATGAATCTTAGATCTAAATGTAAAATGCAAAATTATAACTTTTGGATGAAAACAGAAAATCTATGTGACCTTGGTCTTGGTGATGAGATATGCCACCAAAAGCATGATACATGAGGGAAAAAAAATAGACCAGTTATTTTATTAAAATTGAAAACCTCTATGAAAGACATTGTTGAGAGAATGAGAGGACAAGATACAGATTGGGAGAAAATATTTGCAAAAAACATCTGATAAAGAACTTGTATCTCAAAAATATACAAAGAACTCTTAAAATTCAACATTAAAGAGAACTCAATTAAAAAGTAGGCAAAGGATCTGAACAGATATCTCACCAAAGAAGATATACAGATGGCAAATGTGCATATAAAAAGATGCTCCACATCATTTGTCATTAGGGAAATGGTAATTAACCAAGAGATACCACTGTATACCTGTTAGAATGGCTAAAATCCAGACTACTTATAACACCAAATGCTGGTGAGGATATGGAGTGACAATCTCATTCATTGCTGGTGTGAATGTGGAATGTTATAGCCACTTGGGGAGATAGCTTGGTAATTTCCTACAGTTAAACATTGTCTTACAGTATGATCCAACAATCATGCTCCTAGGTCTTTACCTAACTGATTTGAAAACTTATGTCTACACAGACACCTGTACATGAATGAATGTAACAAATTGTATTTGTACCTGTCAGAAATTGGGAGTGACCAAGATGTCCAAGATGAATGGATAAACAAACTGTGGTATATCCAGACAGTGGAATACTGTTGAGCTAAAAGGAATGAGTTATCAATCCATGCAAAAAGATATATGAATCTTAAATGCATATTGTTAATGAAGGAAGCCTATCTGAAAAGACTATGACTCCATTTATATGACATTCTGGAAAAGGCAGAAACTAGAGGCGGTGAACAGATGGGTGGTTGCCTGGGATTCAGAGGGAAGGAGCAGGTGGTTTAATAGGTGAAGCACAGGAATTTCTAGGGTGGTGAAAATATTCTGTATGAAATTGTAAAGGTGGGATACATGGCACTAGACATTTGTCAAAGCCGGTAGGACTTTACAGTGTGACCTTTCCTGTATGCAAACTTAGGCCAGGTTACCCCTAATAGATTGGTTTGTCACGGTCTGAACTCTGTACTAACCTCACTGGCGAGGGTGGGGAATAAAGATGCAGAACTAATGCACTTCAGCAGTGAGTGGGGAGGACTGTAAGGGCAGAGGGAACAGCACAGAGGCATTGTATTCGGAGTGGTATAGTTCTTTCTCATGGGGGTGCTAGTGAGCGGTTCTGAACCCCTTATACATGTATGCTGGAATCGAACAAGTAAAGGGACAGTAAAGGGCGGGAGCCAGGTTTTTCACTGATGGGAGTGGGGATTTACAGATCAATAAGGAAAGGAGGCTAGAATGATCCATGTGGTAATGGATTAGTTGGCATTTTCTATATGAACTCATGTTTAGCTTAATATGCAGCTGATGTGTGCAGAGATATTTATAGATACGTGTACACACACAGGTTAGTGTACACTCCTATACTTCCCTGCTCTGCAGGCTGAGAGGGCCTAGAAGCGATGACACCCTGCTGGCAATGAGCATACCCAGTGCCCAGTTTGGGGCACTAAGATTTGGACTCTAATACCATTCTGTAACAATAGAAACCAGGGCTCCTTGGAGCAATGGCTGATTCCAGAACTGGAGCAGGGAATGTACAAGGTGAGTCTGGAGCATCTACCATGCCAGAACTAAAGGAGGTGCTTGAGAAGAAAAAGCCACAATGAAAGAGCTCCCAAAGGCCAAAGCTGGAACAACTGGAGCAACAAACTAAAGTATTGGATATATAATAATGAGTTACATGATTGTGTAATATATGAATTATAACCAAAAGTATAAGATATGCATGAGTCCGTACTGATACAAAGATATGATTGAATGAATAAATGAGCCCCCTTAGCAGGGATGTGCGTATGTGCAGGGGGAGGGGAGAGCTGGGAAGCAGGACTGACTAAGGGCCTGTGAAAGTGGGCACAGCTGAGAAAAGGGGACTGCGCTGGCATTACTGGGTGCAGGAGCATGTCTCTGAAAGTTATCTACTGCATGATCTTGTAAGTTTCTGTAAAATGTTTACCTGTTCCGTGAGGGAGAGAAGGTACTGCCTCAGCATAACAGCAGAAAGGTGTGAGGTTAGCACAGGCTGATGGGAGAAGGCGAGAGAAGACTGGACAAGACTGAAGAATGGCAGGGAAACCAATACGAAAGGACACTTCTATCTATGTTGGGGACGATTCAAAACAGTATATTTAAAAATGTTCAGAAAAGGAAAAAAGGCCTTTGGCTGATGCAGAAGAGGGAGTCCTTTCAACTCTTCTAAGAAACTGTAAACTTCTAAAATAACATACTTGGTATTTTAAAAAGTTTCAAACTGTTTGGAAGGGCATAAACTAAAAGAAAGTGAAAGTTCCTGCTTGTATTCTCTAATCTCATTTTTGGCTGATAACTAGAATGAATAGTTTCTTGTTTTCCTACCAGAGTTTAGTTTGCCAATATAAAAGTCTGCACATATGTAATTAAAGCACATACAGTCAGAAGAGGGATCATATTATACTGTTTGGCAATTTGCTTTCTTTATCTACCACTGTATCTTTTTGTTTTAATTTTTTTGAAGCATCTTTGATACACAATCTTTTATTGGTTTCAGATATACAACATAGTGGTTCAGCAGTTACCCATATTATGAAATCCTCACCCTCTCTCGTGCGGTTACTATCTGACAGCATCACCACTATATCTGTAGCCATCTACTTAGGCTAATTGTTTTTAAAGAACATATTTAAGTCCCTATTGATGGAGATTTCATTGTTGTATTGTCTGGTTTTTGCCATTAGAAGTAGTCAGTGTGCAGTGTATAGTCTTTGTGCTCCTGAGGAAGTGTAGCTGTGTAAATTCATGTAGGTAAGATGACCAGGTCAAAGGGCGTGTGCATTTGAATGTACATCAACACTGACAGGTTTCCCTCTCAAGTGAATGGGTATGCTTTCCCCCCACTCCCTTACCAACATGGACACTATTATCAAAATTTTAATCTTAGCATCTTATCGGGAAAATAGTTTTTCTATTGTAGTATTTGCATTCATTAATGATTATCATGTTTATTTGACAGTTAAACATTTTGTGTCTTAAAAAATTTCATGTTTTACACTTAAAAATTTTTTTCTGTGAACTTTCTCCATGTCCCATTTTTCTGTTTTCTTACTGATTTGTAAGGACTAGTTATGAAAATTAGTCCTCTGTCTCCATTTGTTGCAAATATTTTTTTTCCAGTGTATCATTTGTTTTTTCACTTCATGTCATATATGTTTCTAATTTTTACATTGTTGTATTGATAAATATCTTTCCTTATTGTTTTGAGGTTTTGTGTCGTGCTTGGAAAAGCCTTTCCTCAGAATTGGTCTTTAAAGATGTATATATATATAAGGATAATGTTAAAACCAAGATTGCATAAACAGGGACTGAAAGTTGTGAAACAACTTTTTTTGTGTTTTTTAGGTTTTCTCATGCAGTTTTTAAAAGAATTGGCAGAATATCATCAGCCTAAAGAAAGCTGTGATATGGAAACTCAGACCAGCCCCACACTTCCTAGCAAAGACTGTCTTGGTAATTGTAGCCTTCTTTCATAATTTTAATTCTTCCCTTTTCTATTTAAATGAAGGACATGACCTGATTCCGGTTCTCATGTGTTTGCTTGTGCCATGGCTGGGGGATGCAGCCTGCAGGCCGCAGGCCCCTCCTTTTCTCTGCGGTTGTTCCTGGAGGGGCCTGGGACCGCTGTCCAGTGCAGCTCCCTCCTTTCTGTGCTTCCCAAATCTCCCGGGGTCCAAAGGCCCACATTCTTCCTTTGTGTTGGGCTGACCATCTCTTAACTGGGAGGTTCTTCCCTGTGTTTCATCTAACTTTATTTTACAGCCACCAAGAAGATCCTAGACTGTTTGCATTGCACAGAACTAGAGAAGTCACTGGTCCATCACTTCAGTTTATAGCTGAGGACACAGAGGTCCCCAGAGGAAGAGCAGCTTGGGAACACGCAGTCTGGGTCAGAACTGATCCCAGAGGCCAGGTGTCAGGCCCAGATCCGTTCCCACCATGTGGCCTTTCTCCAGCACTGCCTGGGCTTGGGTTAATTGTATGCTCAGGAGAGTGGGGAGCAGCTGGCTACAGTGATGTGGGTATCAGTCTCATCCCTTCCTTACTCAAGAGCAATGGGGCTTTTAACTTGTAGGAAGATAAGAAATTCATAATCTGTAAAAGTATTGTCTGAGGAGGCCTTTATTTAGATGTGGCTTTTAGTACAAGCTTATTCTAGAGCAGTGATGTCCAGTATGAGCCACATATGCAATTAAAAATTTCCCTGTAGCCACAGTAAAAAAAAAATTAAAACATACAATTTATTTTAGTAATATATTCTACTTAATCCAGTATAGTCCTAAATAGTATTCTAATGTGTAATCAATGTAAAAAATATTAGATATTTTATATTTATTTTCTGTACTCAGTCTTTGAAATCTGGTATGTCTTTCACACTTAGAGCACATTTCAACTAGGACTGGTCAAATTTCAAGTATTCAGTGGCCACAAGTGGCTAGAGAGGCCTATGTTGGACAGCACGGATACAGAGCATTTGGAAAATACAGAAAAGTAGGTGAAAAAACATGTCTGCAGTTAGGCTGACCAGAGACTAACATTGCCAGTATTTTCATCTACTGCCAGCCTTATTCTCTGCCGCACATCCATTTTGGCAGGTGTTGGTGTTATATGTGATTGAGATTGTTCTCTGGGTCCAGGTTTGTACTTTGTTGCATAGTTGTTCTGATCCTGTCTTGCCAATGGGTTTCAGCTCCAGGCAAGTTCACTATGGATTCAGTGTGACCAAAGAAAATGACAGCAAAATGTTCTTGGGGTGAAAGGGTTATACCCGACTTTATTTCCAGGTGGCAGGTCAGTCACTAGCATCCCACTCACTCAGAGCGAGTCTGCAGGCAGCAAGCCAGCCTCTGCTTCTGGGCCCCTCTGTCTGCACAGCTGTTCTCTGGGCCTCTCTGCACAGTCGTTCCGCACAGCGGTCCCACACAGCCGTCCTCTGGGCATGTCTTTGGCACTGCCACCACTCCAGCCTCTGCTCTGCTCTCCTGCAGCCTTGCAGCCCTGCCACTGTCGTGCCCAGAGCACTGGGCCGAGGAGCTCTTTATATAGAGTCAACAGCCATGTATTGCCCACAGGTGTGCAGTGAGCTAGTCAGCCAGGGCCAGGTGAGGATCCTGGCCACAGGAACTCTCATTTTATCCACACTCCACCCCTCCAGGATTCTCTCCTCTCAGTCTATGTGCCCTTAGTCCTCTGCAGTGGTCCCTGTGCAAGGAAGCTTGAACATTGTTCTCCAGCCTCTCCAGCAAAAAGTTTTGCAGACACACAGGCTGTTCTCATGGCTCTGTCTCTGACCTCTGCCTCTTTGTTCTTAATGGCTGGAACTGCTGCTCTGGTTTCAGCTGTTGCCATAGCTCCAGTAAGATCCTATTTTGCTCCCTGTCTAATTTCCTTCTATCTACTCCTGCCCATATTAAGTCAACTCACATCTGGGTCCTCGTAACCTTCATGGGGCCCCTTAAATTCTTGTGAGTCACCTCGTGTTTTGTAATTGCTGCCTCAAGGCAGGCTGCACTGTCAGGGAAGACAGCTTTCCCATCTCTGATTCCGACAGAACAGTTCCATCCACCCCTAAGTCCCACATCCGCCAGCTCAGCCTGAGTATAGGGGTGGACCATAGAGTGCTCCACGACCTGGGGAGGGGGCTACTCCTCTCCTGGGGGAACTTTCAGCTGCTGGGTCTTTCTTTTCTTTACAAACATAGGTGTGCTTTCAATACAGGGAGTACCAGTGCCTTCAGCACCACCCCTTCATCCTTCCCTAGCTCCTCCATTTCTGAGGCTGATGGCACCTTTCTCTCCCCTCCCCGAAGTGCCTCCTCTGATACAACCTTTACCTTTTCTACTGTGCCTCATAGCAATGCTACCTTAGTCTTCAGAAGGTCTCTTACCTTCAGCTCAATGCTTCACAGCTGACGTTCTCGTGCCACCTCCGCCTGTGCTTCCTCAGGAGTTCGTCCTTTTCCTTGAAGGCCTCTTCCTCCAGAACACCTGGCAGCACTGCCATCTCATCTCCAGTGGCACCTTGCTGCCGGCGCTCTCGGGCTGCCTCCTCCTGCATCCAGGCCATCTCCTTCCTCAGGGAATCCACAGAGGTTTGCAGTTTGTGTTCTCGTGCCACCTCCTCCCACATCAGTGCCATTTCCCTCCTCAGGGCATCCACAGAAGTCTGCAGCTCGCATTCTCCTGATGCCTCTTGCACCAATGCCATTTCCCTCCTCAGGGAATCTACTGAAGTTTGCAGCTCGCATTCTCCTGATGCCTCTTGCACCAATGCCATTTCCCTCCTCAGGGAATCTACTGAAGTCTGCAGCTCGCATTCTCCTGATGCCTCTTGCACCAATGCCATTTCCCTCCTCAGGGAATCTACTGAAGTTTGCAGCTCGCATTCTCCTGATGCCTCTTGCACCAATGCCATTTCCCTCCTCAGGGAATCTACTGAAGTCTGCAGCTCGCATTCTCCTGATGCCTCTTGCACCAATGCCATTTCCCTCCTCAGGGAATCTACTGAAGTTTGCAGCTCACATTCTCGTGCCGCCATTTCTTGGGTCTCCTCTGTAGACCTTTTTAAGACTGTGAGAAGCAGCCAACCCACAGTCTCTGCTGCCTCCCGGGCACTCCTCTGCTTCTCAAAGGATCTACTTACTATATCATGAGCCACCCCTACTGCCTCAGGTGTCACCTCCACTTGCCTCCAGTCCTGGGGTGGGGCCCAGTCCTCTAGGAGGCAAGCCACCTCAGACCACATCCCCATTGGGGGATGATCCACTGTTTCCCCATTCACAGGGGCAGCCCGCTGGAGCACCCCTCCCATAAGGGCAGCCTGTCTTTTTCCTTGGTCAACGGTGAATCCTGCTGACTACGCCAATTGTCTTGCCAATGGGTTTCAGCCCCAGGCAAGTTCGTCATGGATTCAGTGTGACCAAAGAAATGACAGCAAAACACGTTCTTGGGGTGAAAGGGTTATACCCAAGTTTATTTCCATGTGGCAGGTCAATCACTAGAATCCCATTCACTCAGAGTGAGTCTGCAGGCAGGATGGGCCCCTCTGCACAGTCATCCCACACAGCTGTCCTCTGGGCCTCTGTCTTTGGCACTGCCACCACTCCAGCCTCTGCTCTCCTACAGCCTTGCAGCCCTGCTACTGTGTCATGCCCAGAGCACTGGGTGGAGCTCTTTATATAGAGTCAACAGCCATGTATTGCCCACAGGTGTGCAGTGAGCTAGTCAACCAGGGCCAGGTGAGAATCCTGGCCACAGGAACTCTCATTTTATCCACAGATCCGTAGTTGGTTTGAGGACTATGCATCTACGGGAAAGAGCACTGGAGTGAGAGACAATCAATAGACCAGTCTTTAGCCCCAGTAATGTCAGTACACAGTTGCTTAGCTTTCCGGGAGTCACTTAAACTGTCCAGTCATCTGTTTCCTTCTCTGTAAAGTGGCAGAGTTGAAATACGTCATCTTTGATTCATTGTAAAGTCAGTATTTTGAATGTGTGAGTCAACTTTAGTCCAAGTCTAGTAAGAGCTCTCTGCCTTGGCACTTAGAAACTGGCAAAACATGCCAGTGTTTTCTGACTTAAACTCTGCTCTTTGCTTTCTTTTTCCCCCAGTGGTTTATGATGAAAATTTTCAAACATACAGAAAAGTTGAAACAGTTTTACAGTAAACGCTTATATACCTAGATCTCACCAGGAAATTTGTATTATACTTGCTTGCTCACTTATCTGTCCATCCATTAATCCATCTTAGTTTTATGATGCTTCAAGGTTGCAGACATCCGTATGCTTTCCCCAAGTGTATACTTTTTGCTTTTGAATAGAGCTCTAGCCTCTTGCTCACCTGACCACATTTCTTTATCCTAATGTCCTGTTTTGTTTTTTAATAGCTGAGAAGTTTCAGCTTATTGATAACCAGTTTGCAGATGCTTACTCCCAGCATCCAAAGTTAGAATCTTTAGAAATAAAGTTAGAGGAATATAAGAGAGAAACAGAACAGCAGCTTCAGGCAGAAATGTATCAGAAGGTAAGCTTATCTTGATGTTACCAAGAGTGATATTTTTGCTTGTCTTTGAATGCCTTCATCTTAGGCATAAGTGAAAAAATATGGACTCTTTATTAATGAATTTGATATGATACAGTTGTGCATATGTTTTTCCAATTGATGTCATTTCTTTATGCGTTTTGAATGAATCCCACAGGTACAGTGAAATGAGATGAAACTCAAGATGAACTACACTAAATATTAGACAAAGTATTAATGTTAGACCTAACCTTGGAGAGAGAATGTGTTATTATTTCTTCAGTATAGTGATTGATATTTACAATGTTTGTGATCAATTGGCAGTTGAAGTATTTTAAAGAAACTGAAATAGCAAAAATTAAAATGGAAGAGAGAAGAAAGTCTGAGAAGGAATTAGCTGAGTTCCGGAATGAATTTGAGAGAGCTTGTCAAGCAAAATCTGAAGCCCTCATTTCTCGAGAAAAGATGACCCTTGAGAGAATTCAAAAGCACCAGGAGGTAATATTTAAAATCAGTTACTAGGTGGCTACTTCCTGCAGCTTTTAGTAGATTGGCTCAAAGTCTAGGAGCGAGATGGGGCAATTGATGGGACCGGGCCCACAGGAGTAGCAGGGCCTGGGGTCAAGAGTGCAAGTGGAAGGGTCCACAAGAGGTACGTAGACTTCTTCCTTTGAGGCTGTTGGAAAGGAAGAGCTGCAGAAGGGGATGTCTGGGCTGGTGAGGGGCTCATGCTAGACAAGGTCCACCTTCTTGGGCAGCTTGCAGGTTAGGTAGCAGCTGTAAGGAGAGGGCCCGCCAGGTGGAAGGGCTGCTAGTAGCCAGAGGAAGAGCAGCTGTGTGAGGTCGACAGGACAGATGGAGCCTTGTTGAGGGCCCAAGTGAGGCGGGCAGCCTAGAACTGAAATAGACCAAAGCAGGGCTTGCTATAGCTTTTGGTGGATTTGTAAGGTCAGCGATGGTAGAAAGACAAAGGGGCCTGGGCAGTAGGGCTTTACTGAGCTGTATTGCCTTGGCTTGAGAAAGGCCACCTGTTTAATTGAAGTCATGGGGGTCAGTGGGGGAGAGTCAGAGGGGAGGGTGGGTGGCTGCCAGCTGGGGGAGAAGGCAGGCCTTGGGGCAGTCTCGGAGACATCAGGAATAAGTCTGGGGGTGCTGAAAGAAGAGGAAGGAGGTGCCAGAGGACATAGTTGCAGGCTGAGGTTTCGGGGAAGAGAAACAAAACGCAGTGTGCTGTCATTGGAGCAAAGGTGAGGGCCCCTGGGGTAGAGGAGTTTGGTACTGCGAGGGTCATCCATGTGGCCTTGTCACTCAGAAAGTGACGGGAAAGGAGGAGGAGGAGTGGCAGGGAGTGCGTGCCAGCAGGATGGGTCAGGTCTGTTCCTGTAGGAAAAATGGGTTCCTTTCCCAAGGGGGTGTCTCAGTGCAGCCTGAATTTGGGGGAACCGGCTTCTGTTACAGCCGGAGCGACTAGGTCAGGAGATGTTGGAAGCAGGAGGGCTTCCTCTCGGCGCTCCCTTGCTCAGCTTCTCAGTAAGACCCAGTTACTTCATGCTCGTCACAAGCCCTTTCTGAGTTTGTGTAGCATTTCTGAGTATTTGGCTCTGCAGCTCTAAAAATAACCATTGGAAGCATGGTTTTGAAGATGATTGGACTGTGTTTAGACAACTTCATCTTCAAGGTAGATGACTAGATCAGATCAACAAGTGAACAGACTGGAATCTTCATTAGTTAAGGGATTCTCTGAAGGGTCTGGAGAAGGTTGCTGTCCTCCTGAAAAGCAACAGGCCACAAGGGAATGTCCCTCCCCTTCTGTCCCTAATAAAACTGTCTTGACCTTCAAAATCCAGCTTGAATGTCACCACCTTGTGACTCCTTCCTTGACTCTCAGTGACCTTCTCCTTCAGGCATCCTTCCTGCTATGGGGGATTTATGGACTTTGGTTGTGAAATCACCACAGCATAATATGATTGTTTCTCTCTCCCTGACTAGGTGGGATTTTTTAGATGCGGGCACTGTATCTTTTCATCTTTATACCCAGCTCCCAGTATGCTGTTTGACATACAACAGGCATTCAGAAAATCCTTGCTCCGTGAACACAGGTGGAAGTGTGGCCCATTCGTTGAGCTTGCTAATGCTGAGTCAGAATGACCTGGAACTGAAACTTTTAGACAACAGAACAGTGCAGATTTATTCTTTTGAAATTTTATTGCTGAAGCATGTTTTTTTTCCTTCTTGCTGAAGACCTTATCAAAATTTTAAGTAAGGGTTTGAGCTATTAAATAGAATAATTAGACAAGGATGTTAGGAATTAGGGATTGAGGGTAAGGCAGTTTAACAGTCTTTGGGGGGAGTACACTTTTGTGTAACTGGAATAGGCAGAGAGCATACCTTTAATAGGAACCTTTTGAAAATGAAATTGTTACCCTAAATATCTGTACTTTGATTGCTTTCTGGAATTTAGGAAGCAGTGTATTAGTTCAAATCTTTTTCATTTTCTTCAGCTTATTTGCTAAAAATTAATGCCTTCCTATACAGATGGAAACAAAAGAAGTTTATGCTCAAAGGCAGCTTCTACTAAAAGATATAGATTTACTAAGAGGCAGAGAAGCAGAGCTGAAACAAAGAATTGAAGCTTTTGAATTGTAAGTAATACATGTTCATTTTGGATATTCAGAATAAATGAGTTTAAAAAGAATTACCAAATATGTCTTAATGTTCTAACTTTCTTTGTCGTAAAGGTGATACCATGTAGTTTCACAAGGCACAAAGTAAGAGAAAGACAAGGGTTTTGCTTTTGAAATACTAGACATTAGAATGAAAAGCAGAATGAGGTGCCATCATCAGGCCACAGTAAGACCAGACAAATAATTTGAAGAAGCTAATAATGCTTTAACATATGTGTGTCACATGTACATTCAATCATTCAGATCTAATAGTTTCACGTGCACAAGGTAACTGAATTCCAGATACCCAGACCTGCTGCATTCACCTGCCCTGCTGTCAAAAACTGGAAGTGGGCCTGACTTGACTTGTACTGGGTGAGACAGTTTGTTGCGGTCTGTGTGTTGCTAAGTATTCACAACTGTCTGATTCTTGAGATTTTACCTGGAATTAACAACAAGCTCACCAGTCTATGGTTTGTGGAACAAGCCTTCTTTCCCGTTTGGTATCTGCTATTAATTGATATTCACAGTTACTTCAGGAATCTTTTCACTGAAGAGTTTACCTCCGTCTCATTAATGTTGTTTTCTCATTTACATAGGCTCAATTTATTTGATTTCTTCTCTCTGCCTACCTTACTGTCTTTTTGGCAATACCGAAGAAGTGAATTGATGATGACAGAGAGAAAAAAAGGAACAATTTGGGCAGATACATGATCATATAATCTCTCTGCCTCCATTTCCCCTTCTCCTCCTGTCTGAGCATGTGAACTAACTGCTCCTTTGCGCTGACGTTAGCCAGGAGAGGGAGCTAACACAGAGCCTTTATCCTTGGCTTGGAGTCCTCCGTGTTCATAGCGCTTCTCATTGTAGCTGGGTCTCCATTACCCCTGAACCTGATTCCCTTTTGCGATGGACTTAAGGTCTCACTGTGAAGAGCGCTCCATTCTTCGGAAGTTCTGATGGTCACATCCATCTTTGGCTCTCTACTTCTGCACTCTTGAACATTCAATCCGCAGATTATTAAATGCTAAAAACAATCTTCTACCTTTAATTCCTATGGGCTAATCAATTAAATCTCACAGTAAGAAATAATATTATGGAAGGAGCAAGCACTTAAGTACACTAACTTCAGTTTGGCTTGTAGCTTTGTAATTACCAACATCATTGATTATGGCCATTTATCACCTGTAGCCATTTCTTCAGTGTGAATCATCTTCTGTGACCAACCACTTTGGTCTTGACACTTTCACGCTCCCACCAGCTGAACACCACCAGATAGCTCCATCTGCTAGTTCACATCCATCATAACTAGGTCAGTTCATAAAATAGGTGGAGAAAATCTGGCCTTTTCTGTTTACTTCCCAGCAGTGGGAATCATATAACAGTTTTAGTCTGAGGACCTAAAAACATGTTACTTTTACCTCTAAATTTGTTATTTCGGGTGTTGTAGTTTTCTTATTTGCTTCATATTTTTTTTGCTAATTTCAGGGCCCAGAGGCTACAAGAAGAAAAAAATAAAAGCATGACTGATGCTCTTAGGAGATGGGAGCTAAATATAAAGAGCTTTGAGGAGATGTACGACCAGAAGCTCAAGAATGAACTTCTAAAGTAATTGTTTGGTGTTTTTAAAGAAGTAATGTGTTTGAATTCAGCTGATAAAACATGGTAACACTTACGCAGATCAGACTAACATTTTATGGCAAATTTACTATTCGAAAATGTTTTCATTGACTGTTGAGCCTTTCTCATGAGTATTTAAGGGAGTTTTAAAGAGCTACAGTACAGAAAGTCACATCTGCTTGGTTTTGCTCATAGCTTCTCTGACAGTTATTGAGGGCCTGTGATTTGCTAATAGTTTCTAGGGCAGCCTTATGACTTTGCTCAGTTTGCACAGATGATAAGCTGTAAGGTTGGGATTCTAATCACTTTTAGTTGTCTTTCCTCTACCCCACTCACACTGCCACTAAACTGGGGATAGCTAACAATTTATAAATTATTCTACTTAGTGTTTTGTAGTGCTTGTCAGTGAATATGTGGCTTGTATTGCCTCAAGGTTCTTCAAAGTCAGAATGAAAAGTGAACTAAAATTAACTATATAAGCAAAAATAATCTAGGGAAAGGGAAATGTGGACAACTATGGTTACTGTGGCTTTCCTGCGGTCGGAGTTTTGTGTTCTAGTGAATAATATCTTACTGCGAAGACATTAAGCCCATTTGGTAACTTCTCTCTCCAGTGGGCAGGATAGCATCTGGCACATAGTAGGTGCTCAGTTAAGGTTTATTGAGTAAATGAATGTGTAGTGAAGAGATGACTCAGCTCAGCTGCTCTGGGAGTTTCTAAGTCATTGGTCTCTTATTTCTTGTTCAAAATTTGTTGTTGGCATTCCAATTTATACCTGGAAAGGTTTCTTGAGGTTGTTCTTTAAAAGAACTATATATTAAAAAAGAAACAGCACTGATGGAAATGCTACATATTTTATGTCTGCTCCTCTAACATAGTAGCAAACACTGAAGTATCTGTAGTTGTTAAACTTCTAGGAATAACTGAGTAAAAAAGTATGCGTGTTAACTTTGCGTGGCTGTCCACATGGTCAACTGTTTGCTGCCATTTGCCTGGCTTTGCCTGCCCTCGCGTAACTTTGGCAAATGTTGGAGTTGGGAGGATGTTCACCACAGGAGTGCTTCCCTCTCCTTTCCCTGATCGCTCAACCAGCTGAAAGTCAGCTGGGAACAGTGGTTGGGAGAGAAGTGAAACTCCATGAAATGTGCTTTTTTGTGTCCTTGATCCAGACCTGCTGCTGTTGGCAGTTGGTTCTCTGTACTGTGCTCAGCTCCCAGGGGCGAAAGTTCTTCTGGTTGGGGAGGAAGACGGGACAGCTGGGTTGGAAGTAACTCACTTGTGATTTGCGATTAGAGTCTGCTGTGTACCCTCTAAATTTAACCTAGTTTACTTCTTCGTGTACAGACCAAATGAGAAACGATTGTAACCTCACAATAACATGACCCTTCATTTTGTGCAATTGAATTTTTGGGGCCCAGTTTACAGGATCACAGCAGAGTCTCGTGGACCTTTTATGTTCAGAATTCGGATGCCTGGCCTTGGTACTGAGAGACTCAAAGTTTACATGTTGTCACATTCAGTACCTGTATGTGCCCCAGTGCCATAGATACACTCCTGTGTTGACAGCAGTCTGTCCAAGAAAGTGACAAGGAACTCATTTCAGTCCTTCTGACTCCCAGGTATCAGCTTGAACTAAAGGATGACTATATCACTAGAACTAGCCGACTGGCTGAAGAGGAAAGAAAGAATAAAGGTGATGCTCGGGGGAGGGGCTGCATGTGTCACTTCTGTCGGGCTACTCACCTCCTAAGTTGCGTCTGTTCTGTGTTCTAAAACAAATGTAGCTTATGCTTCATTCTTGCTACAAAAACTATCCATTTCTTGTTATTTTAATTTTACAAAATAAAAAATTCTTCCCTATGTTTCTGCAAACTTTTGTTTAACCTTTTATATATTCACAAAGATCAATGATTTATCAGCAGAATTTTATCTAACTTTATTTCAATATATGTTGATAAATCTGTGATTGTCAATGTGGCAGCAATATTGACATCTGGTAAATATTACTCTTAATCATGAGAGACTTCATTTTTCACTTAAAATTTTAACTTCTCTGTCCCATGTGACCTACTTTCTTATTTGTTTTACTTCTAATATATTTTTATGTTTCATGTTATTTTTGCTTGACATATAACCTAGATTCTTATATACGTTAGCCTAAGACTAGGAAAGTTTGATAATTTTTCAATCTTTCATTATTTTACATTTCAATATATTTCTAAGAACTTGTCTATGAAAAGAAGTTCAACTTGAGGTGGAAATTTCAATGAGTTCTTGGGAGTAAACCAGGGCTGGGTACTTGATAACGACCCGCAAGATCACCCAGTGTGTGGCTGCTCCTTTGGGACCATCTTGCAGAGATTAAAGTCTCCTTAGGAATTAGTACCATCATGTACTAATCATGTGCACCATGTACTCAGCAATTATTTTTTGATATATCTGCATAAACTTGTGTTAGATACAGTGAAGTTGACAAAATAATAACTACAAAATGCTAATAGACAAATCTTTGTCCTTAAAGAAATTCAGATCTGTCTGTATGAGGTCCCTGGGCTCTGCGTAAGATGACGTAACTCTGGTTAGTTCTGTGTAGCAGGAGAAAGTTCACCACGTACAAGACTGTTGAAACTGACTTCCATCCCCGGTTGGTCAATAGGGCTTATTTAGATTATGAAATAATGGTCATTAGGTCTGACATGCTGGCCATGAACTATTAAATGACTTTTCTATTCACTGGGAAAACATGATGATGATTTACTGGTTGGCTCTTTCTTTCAGAAAAAGTTATACACTTGCAAGAGGAGCTTACAATTATTAATTCAAAAAAGGGAGAACTCAGCCGTTCCGTAAATCGTGTGAAAGAACTTGAGGTAATTGTTAAGCCTATTTTGTTGTATGTGAAATAGATGTGAAACTTCAGTTTTAGGCATACATAATTTAAGTTATTCTCTTGATGTATTTGGACTGTTATATAATTATATGACTGAGAAGGTGATGGCTGAACTTAAGTGAATTCAGTAGTTCTTCGTTTCAATCTTAGTCTGCTAGGGAAGCATAGAAAGAGTACATCTTTTGGGGCCCAGGAGTCCTGCTTGAATCCTGTCTCTCCCCCAACTGCTTGCGTGCCTTTGGGCAAGTTCTCCGACCTCGGATTCCTTGTCCATAGACTGGGACATTGGCCACATGCCATGGCTGTTGAGGGAACTCGGTGAGCTGATTTATGTGCCTCACCCATAGCAGGTGGCCAGTGCCTATTAGTTCCTCCCTCAGCCTCTTCTCCCTTCCCGTCAGCAGCAGGTAAAAGTTCCTGTCATTACATCGGGATCTTACTGATTAAAACAAAATGAGATGCATTTTTTACATGCCACTGTTAACTTCGTTCAGTCCTGTGTTTGCTGTCCCAAGAACATGGCTGGAATATTAGGTACTTAACATACATTCTGTATTTTATTCTGGCATCCGTAACGGCTTATTTAAGAACCTCATAGGCATCTATATCCAAATGAGTTACATTGGTACTAAGAAAAGGAGCACACCCCATGACAGGTTAGTGATACCTCACCTTTTCATATTTAAAAAAAAATCTGTGATCACATTGCTACAGTCTGTGATTGCTCTTGGGCCCTTAGCTGGATCCAGAAAATCTGGAAAATCAGAAGCACTGGTTTTGTAGGATAGGGTTCCTCATCATTCCAGTTGGATGAACTCCCCACCACCCCCACCACCCCCGCCCCAACTCGGTGCACAGGACAGCTTTCATTGTAGCAGTTAGGCTTCTGTTGTTGCAGCGAACCGGGCTTATATCTGATGACCTCATTTCACCTGTGTGGCCCAACTAAAAGCCTCCCAGCTTTCACTTACGTGGGACTATAAAGTCAGTGTTCCAATGTGCGTGTGCCTTTTTCCATTCCAGCTTGAATTAGAGTCTGTCAAAGCCCAGTCTTTGGCAATAACAAAGCAAAACCACCTGCTGAATGCAAAGGTTAAAGAGATGAGTGACTATTCACTCCTAAAAGAAGGCACACTGGAGCTTCAGGCACAGAACAAACTTCTTAAACAACAACTGGAAGAGAGTAGAAATGAAAACTTGTGTCTCCTAAACAGTATGTCTTTTTTGTGACTTGCATGTTTTTGTAATTCATATTAGCTTGTCTTTAGCTGTGCTTTGTACCAGTAGGGGAGGCTGCAGCAGGGACGGTTTTATAAAATTAAGACTCAGGGTGAAGTTACTTCTTTTTGCTTGCTATGGCATTGTTCATAGCATCACTAAGAAGAAATATTTTTAAAATGTATGAAGCTGCCTTTCTGTATGGTTTTGGGCTCCCCTCGCCCTATGCTGTCTGACTGCTGGGTGGGTTTGGCCAGTGGGGGTACCCTCAAGACCTTGGAGGGAGGGAGGAGAGGGAGGCCAAGGTGGTTGTTAGCCCCTCCCTACCACCTCCACGTGCAGTGGCCCTGGGCTGGCCCTGTGCCTCTCAGCTAAGCAAGATTCCAGTGCTGGTGGGGTGGCCTCTCACCAGCTCTCGGGGCCAGCACCCTAGAGTTCTGGGAATTCCTCCCTCCCCGACCCTGCGGGTCCGAGGAGTGTAACTACATGTCCCGTTTCTAGCCCAGGGAATGCTACTGTCCTTTGTGGCTACCCTCCATAGGTCACTCGTTATTAAAGGGTCCTCCGATGACCCAGGTTGGGATGCCATCAGCTTTCTGCCTGGAGCCTGGTGCAGCTGACAGATGCACAGATAAGGTTGGCCCTTGGGGCAGCCATGGGCGGGTTTGGTAGAGCACCCCTATGCCTCTGCACATCGTAGATGAGAGAGGCGGGCTTTCAAGTTAGCTTAAGGATTTGAAAGAGTACTTTTGCTTGGAGTAAGACTCTTGAAGAGTAGTAAAGTTTGCATTTCTTTTGTTCTGAAACTTGTGAGTCAGGATTGCTCTTAGTTCATTTCATAGAATTAATACTGTGTGCAGACAAAAAGAAAAAGAAGAACGACTTAAAACCTCTTTAGCTGCTTTTGTTAAATAAAGTGACAAAACTTCAGGTTGGTTATGACCAGGCTCTTTTACCTTCTTAGGAATAGCTCAACCATCTGCTGAGCTGGTGGTTTTTCAAAAACAATTAAAGAAAGCAGAAAATGCATTTAAGCATCAGGAGCTCGAAACCCACAAGCAAGCTTTGCAAAAACAGCTGCAAAGTGAAGTGAGTATTCTTCACTCGTCCAGATGTTAAGCCAGTCCAACTTTGTAGGCAAGTGAAGTTGGTATACATCACACCAGCATAAGTCAGATTTACTGTAACATCAAAAAGTACTCCTCTAATATGCTGAGGATATCCTTTCTCATCTGAGGAAATTCTTGAGTGATTATGTGACTTTATATTCATAGTAGTAATAAAATCCAGAGGAAAGCAAACTCACCTAAATACAAAATTTTCAACCTCCTGCTGGTGCCCATTCTCACCCTGTGACTTAGAAATATTGGCACTCTTTTTCTAATGTCTGTTTCATGCTCTGGAGAAGCTATTCCTTGGGATGGGTGAGAGAGGAGGTGGGAGACTTGTTCTGGTGTTATTTTACAGGGACCATGTGGATTACAGGTATAAAGCTGCTCAGAATTGGCAAAACAGGAAAAGACAATAAGGCTGATGAGAGAACAGTTACTTTTGAAATGAACTGTGATTTATTGTACATTGATTTCCTCCTCTACATTTTTTCAGATTGAGCATTCCGCACAGCTGAAGGCCCAGATACTAGATTACGATGCCTCTGTAAAAAGGTTAACTGTGCAGGTTGCTGATTTAAAACTGCAACTGAAACAAACTCAGACAGGTTAGAGACATTTGTAGCCTGTAAATGTGTGTTTGTGTGTGTGCATGCATGAAGCTTCTGCCCTTTGTGAAAATGTAATGATTGTTCATTGAATGTTTAGTAATTCTCATAGTAGGGGAAAAGCTATAGAAATGTGTGTCATCTTAGAAGTAAAATGCCCTCTGCATTTCAGGAATACCAACCAGGTCATCAGCAAAAGGGACTTGCTTTCCTAGGTGCCCCATGGCCTGGGAGAGCCTCACACCCCAAGTAAAAAAGGTGTGGTGACACAGAAGTCCCCGGATTCATCCACCCAGACTCTTTTTGTTAACCCTGACAATAAGACCCATCAATTCTTAAGTAGTTTTATATGTCTCTTGACCAATGTACAAATATATAGGAGAAGCAGGGGGGCCTAGAAAACATCACTGGCCCTGGAATCAGAACCATTTTGATTTGTGGACCGCAGTTTTGAAGCTAATTGTCTGACCTTGGGCATGATCCTTTTCACTTCCTTGGGCCTCTGTGTCCTCCTTTGCAATGGGGATAATACCACCTACTGTGCTGTGGTGAATGAAGATGAAGAGACAGGTCCCTGTACAGTGTGTGGGATACATCAGGTGCTCAGGAAATGGGCACTGCAGTCTTGTTGTTACTGTGTCCACTGTGGACGCATGATGTGCCCCTTCCTACCTAATAACATGTGCACCCAAGCACACATACTTTAGCTGCTTCCAGTACAAAGCAAGTTTCTGTGTGTTACCAGTTGTGGACTGAAATCTTAACAGCCACTGTATTAAGAAAGCTAGTTAATTGCATCTTACTAAGGCCTGTGACCGGGATCACAGTTGATCAGAGAGTTCTGATCAGACTGCGGCATCCCTCTTTGAAGACCATTTATATGCAGTTTATAGCAGAGGATACATGCAGGGAAGAAGTTACGTTAATTAGTATGTCAGAAGATGCGTTGGGGTTAGTGTCCTCAAAGTACAGGCCGTGCACATTCTGCTGCTGTCTGTGTGTGAGGGGAGGCAAGGGTTAGGGCTCATAGTTATTTTCCTAAAGAATTCTATCAAGGACATGAGAACTGGATTCCCATTCGGTTTTGTTTCCTTTGGTCATCCAAGTCTGGTTTTCGGGGCCTGGGTGAGGGGCTATGGTAGGCTTACTGATAGCTGATGGCTACAGGGCCGCTCTTTCTGTTTCACGCAGTTGACCTGGTCCTAGCACTTCCTTGTTCTGAGCCTTTCTCCATTCTATTTATACTCTTTTCCTCATCAGTCTCTTGTTCTCTTTATCTCTTTACTCATTTCTGCTGCTCTCGGTTCCTCATTTTCTCTCAACAGTTCTGTTTGCCAGACGGCCCACAGCTGAAATCATTGTGCTCTCCTGTCATGAAAAATAGTTGAAGATGGGACCTGTCTGAACACGTGCACTGCTCATTACAAGCGCCTGTCCCATAGCACATGGAGGTGGCGAGATGGGAGAGTGGTGGTTACGTGCACTGGCTTTGCATTAGGAAATCCCAATGGCTTTACACCTTGTCAACTATGTGACCCAGCTTCCCAGAGCCTCAGTCCCCCATGTATAGAATTGGAGCAGCGAGAGTTCTTAGCCCACGGTGTTGTGCCTGCAGGTCTTCATTCCCTTATTGGAAACTCAGACCATAATACTGTGCATTTTGCTGCCACCCTGGGAGTCCTGGGCAGCATCTTGTAGTAAGGCATTTTAATTAGTTTGCAGTCAAATGTATGGCTGTTCATGCTGGGTGGAGAAAAGAAAGCCCATAAGCAGGTTTACATCAGGTCAGGTCAAGTTTTTTAAGCAAATGAGTTCAGGTCTAGTTAGGCTTTGCCAGCAAATAAGTTATGAACATGTTTTCAGCCCTCTCAGTGTTTGGGATTTCACAGTTGTGCATAACCGATTGGGGGAAATAATGTCAGGCATTACAGAAGGCATGTGAAGCCGTGGCTGGCACACACAACTCCCATAAAAAGGTGATGATCACTATTACTAGTTGCATGGCTTCAGAAACTGGTTAATGAGTGGGTTTCCCTTATCACTACTTTCTTTCATTAAAAAAAAATGCTCTCAATGTACTTTAATTGTACTATCTCCCTTTTCCCCTCATCTCTCACATTTATCTCTGTATAATTCACAGCACTAGAGAATGAAGTGTACCGCAATCCAAAGCTGTCTTTGATGGATCCTTCTGTCAGCAGGTTAGTAAGTGGCAGGACGGTGCCTCATGATGGGGATATAAGCGGGGATTTCTTGAAAAATCCTCTCGGACAGGAGAAGCTGATGGCAGGCACAGTTACCCCAAGAATCACAAATTACACAAACGAAGGCACAGGGAGTAGTTCGCCCGATTCTGACGTGGAGTTTGTAGTCAGTACCAAGGCCAGGGTGAAAGAGCTCGAGCAAGAGGCTGAGCGCTTGGAAAAAGCTTTCCGAAGTTACCATCGAGGACTTACTCACCAGCACTCTAGAAGCTCACTGGCAGCCAGGAGCCCGCCACCCCTGCACTGGCACGGGTGGCTCAACACCAAGACTTCACATTCCCGCAAGAGACGGTCTTTCACCGAGGACAGAGCTGTCTCTGAGCCGCCTGCGGGGGCCGCGCTCACAGAGGAGAGGAGCATGGCGTCGGAAACGCTGGCGGGCAGCACGGCCTCCCGGCTCCGTAGAAGCGCTTTGCCCCGTCGCCTCTCCTCCACTCCCCTCCCGGAAGCAAAACGAAGCCTTGATGGGGAAATGTATCTGGAAGGTAAGCTACTGCGGAAAGGGCTGTAGGGCGCTCTGGATGTGGATGGGCCTGGCCCTCAGTGGGCCTCTTGTTTGAGTAAGAGTGCAGCTGCAGACAGCAGGAGGTACTGGGACTGGGCCTCGCCAGGCCAGGGCTCCGCCAGTTGTGTCCTCTCTCTGAACCTGCTGTTTCCTGCTTAACCGTTTGTCCCCTGCACGCCACAGCGTTTGTGTGGGAGTCAGCAGGGTACACTCAAGTTCAGCATTTTGCTTGACATGCAGATGGGTCAGAGAGAGACGATGGCTTTCCCTTTACTGCTGGTTAGTTCCTTTACATTAGTCTGTTGTTACCACTGCAGTTTTGTTAGGTGCTGGAATTGTTGGTTTTGTGAATTGTGCATGCATAGTACTCAGCTGTTGCAAGGATAGTAGAATTCATTTTCAAAGTTTTAGAACACTTCAGAAATCACATTGCTGTCTTCTCCATGCAATCTGTAATATTCTCACATGGTTCCTTCTGCCCCTTAGGTCTGGGCCAGTCCCATTCTGCTGCCCCCAGTCCTTGTCCTGACAGAGCACCTCAGCCTTTACCTGCTGAACCTAGGCACAGCCCTTCCCCCCACCAGCTGTCTGGCCCTCCAGAGCAGAAGTCTGGGTAGGTAATACCATTCTGCTTGGCTTCAGCCGAGTCTGGTTAGTTGCATAGGGTCCTAGTCTTGACTTGTTTGTTTTAAGTGGAATTAAAGACCATGTGGCAGTATAGAATTTGCAATCAGATTGTAAGATGGTGTGTGACCTGAGAATCATCTAAATTATATGGGGAGAAAAAGATTCTTTTTACAAATAGGTAACTTCTACTTGTTGACTTAACGATGTATAGTATATGCACTGTGGTATTGATAAGGATCTTCATAGCTCCTTGAATAGACTTGGTTTATAAGATAAGTGTACAAAATCTGTGAAAGCAAATAAATTCAGTTTAAACTTAAAACAGTTTCACATATGATTAAAAAGTCATTTAAAGATAGTTTGACATTTAAATAAAAGCAGATAAGTTTCCAGTTTGCATATCATTGAAATACATTGTAAAGTGTTAGTGGGTCCTAGGATGTGATTGCTGGGGCAGGATGGATTGGCTGTGTTTCGAAACTCATGGTGGGTCACTCAGACTGGGATTCAAGTCACATATGGGACTCCTGCTTGTGCGTGGGCCCCAGGGCGGGAGATTCAGATGCCTTAGTTCCGGCCTCCAACCTGGGCATCTGCACATTGATTCAATTTTACCATATAGAGTTGAAAACTGCCACGTCTGCCTATTACAGTTCTAAAGTATGTGTTTTTTTTATATTGCTTAATCTAGTAATAAAGTCAAGAGAGACAGGACACACGCAAGCTGAATCAGGGCACTGTGCACATGGCATGCTTGCGGTACTGGCATCTTCAGCTGCCTTGTGCTGAGATGTGCAGAATTTGTTTTTTTTCAAAAATGTTTTGTGGTTCTTGAAAAAGCAAACCCCTCCTTGGAGCAGCACTGAGAGTGTGGCGTCCCTGTTAACAACGGCAGTACCTACCTCCCAGAAGTGGCGTGGCTAGGAGGAGGAACTGAGTCACGGTGTATCAGTGGCTTATCAGTGGCTTAGAATGGTGCCTGTGCGTGGAGAGCACCAAGGCAGTGTAGCTCTCACTTTCTGTGAGCCCGAGAAAAGTCAAGTTCCTAAAGCGTTTTCTTGAGTCACCCTATGTTGTTGGGTTTTACATTATTAAAAGTTCACATTCTTGAATTTTATTCTTCCAATCCAATCTTTATCAAAGGCAAATGGAACTTAAAGACAAAAGTGAATTTTCAAAATCGGAGAAGCAAGTTTTTAAGGACAATGAGGAATTTGAATCATCTCTTAAATATAAGTTCAATCGTGAGTACTGGTTTTTATAAGTTCATAATGTAGAAAGTTTAGTTTTGGTGAAACATCCTTTGTTATAAAAAGCAGTTACATGTTAGGACATTTTTATTTTGTGGTAAAACCGTAAATACAGATATATTGCCTCTTTTCTAATATCACAGAATTTCAGGGCTGTGGTCTGGGTTCCAGTTATTAGAAATTTCAGGATAACTAATAATGTTAAAGTGCAGCAAAGCCCATAATTGAATCCTTAATTTACCAAGTTTGGGATTATCTCATATTTAAAATAACAGATTTTTAAAATTTGTGTTTTTCTCTTATATGGAATATGAAGATGCTAAGTTATTTTTCTTTGAATTATACTGATTCCATTGATTGCCTCAGATTTAGAAAAACCCATTCCTAAAGAATGGAGGTAAGAGATAGTAGCTTAGGAGTCTAGAAACTGGTGTCGTGGATTTGGCCCTGCTTAGATTGTTCCACCTTGGAGCCTACTTCGTAAATATGAATTAGGGATGTAGAGTTGATCATCTCTGAGGTGCTTCCCAGCTTGGGAAGTCTATATATTTGCACTGAAACTTTTTGCCTTACAAGCCTCATTGCCAAGTCTGAGAGTAAAATATGAACAGTTATGTGAGTGGGCTTTGTAAATTTTGCAAGACTTTTGTGACTTGCTTTAACTTTTTTGGATCATTGATACTTAAGTAGAATTTAAATGCTCAGCATGCCAGGTGAATTCTTCCTGTCATTGGATTGATTTTCCTATTGGGTAACATTGAATTTTGCAAATGATTCTAATTCTTTAAAGCATAAGAACACTTGGAGAAGCAAGTGTATTGGCAAGCAGCTATGATGCCAGTTTCTTAGAGTTCTATAAGGGAAGGGCTGACCTGGATGCTTTGGCTGAAACATAAGCACTCCCCAGTGAGTTACCCCACACTGTGCCATTCTCCACTCCCCGGCTGTTGTTATGAAGGACTCATGGGACATTGTTTGTGCCCCTTGCAGGTGCAGGGAACTCACCAAGGCAGTTTGGTGCAGAGGACCTCCTTCCTGCTGGCGACATGCCTCCCATGGACATTGCTGCAGCTACTGCAGGGAGCTCACCAAGGCAGTTTGACGCGGACCTCCTTCCTGCTGGCGACATGCCTCCCGTGGACATTGCTGCAGCTACTGCAGGGAGGTCACCAAGGCAGTTTGACACGGAGGACCTCCTTCCTGCTGGCGACATGCCTCCCATGGACATTGCTGCAGCTACTGCAGGGAGCTCACCAAGGCAGTTTGACGTGGAGGACCTCCTTCCTGCTGGCGACATGCTTCCCATGGACATTGCTGCAGCTGCCCTGCCCATCACACCTGCCTCCAGTCGCTACCTGAGTACGTTTTTTCTTTGTTTTCACCAACAACATGTATGAATAATATTTCTTTTTCTGCCCACTTCTTTTGTGCCTTAACAAATTTGGACAGGAAAACATTTCAATTTTTGGAAAAGTTGATGATGCTGGAGGAAACCTGGTCATCAGACTTTTCTTGTCTGGCCCCCTTTCTCTTTCTTGTCTTCTCCAGATCCCCCACTTGTCTTACCAGTGGGGATGGTGAGAGGGAGGCTGGAAGGGGAAGATTTGAGTTCACTCCAGGGCTCAGCCAACAGCCTGATCCTTTTTTCCTTGGACCAAAGTGTTTAAGCCTCCATTCTGAGAGGAAGTTCCTCCACTGAAACCACCTATGAGTGATTTCCAAACATGCGGAAAACATCATCCCCAAAATCTGTGCAAAACCTCTTAGAAGCAGTTTTTTGGTTTGAGTCACAGGACTTAGGAACATGAGGAATTATTGCAAGAAGCCAAGAGATTTTGAAAAGGTTGATTTTGCTGATTCCAGATAAATCATTCTGGAAAGGACTCAGTCAGTGAGACTTGATCAACAGCCTTTTCTGTGCTGGTCACTTTGCTGGGGTCTGGGCATAGAGCAGTGAACCAACCCAAGCCCTTGCTGTCCGGAGTTTCCAGTGGGAGAATCGGACAGTCAGCAGGCCGTCACTGAGGAGGGACAGTGGCCACCCGAGAACGGGTCTCATGGGCAGCCATCTGCAGACCTGAGTGAGTAGGGAAGAAAAGTAATATAGTAGGATAAGGGAAACCGACTGAGTAGGTAGGTGTACAGCCTCTGAGAAGTAATGTAGATTACAATAATGGCTTTAAGAATTATTAAATACTGTGGTTACATTTTGACCATTGAGAAGTTCTCTTATATTTGCCATTTCACCCCTTCATCTGTGTGTGATGTGAAATGAAAATGGTTGGAATTTGGTGTTTGGGATGCCCAGTGGCAATGCTTTTTTACTTTGCTCTTTTGTCCCAGTGGGCTTCCGTAGCCACTCTGCCGCTACAAAGTATGCCCACAGCAAAGAAGTGGCATTTTCTCCTCTTCTTTTTAATTGGCACCCACACACCGTTCCTATTTTGAGGCCCATGTGAGAAAGCAGCACCAATTAGGAGTAGCCCTTCTTCCGCCAGCAAGGAGGAGGCTACCTTTCTGCTTGTAGACATGATCAGCTGCCACCGCTGGTGTTTGACTTTAATGGTCAGGATTGAGAGAGAGAAGAATGTGTGGCCTCTCGCCTATTAGTAAAACTGACTCAGTTCCTGCTGGTGACTTTGCATAGGGCACAGCAAAAAGGTTCAAAGTCCTTTGGTCAACCCTTGAATTTGTCTCTTTCTCAGCATTGCTTGGCAGGGTGGGGCTTAGGTTATAGGCCAGAGCTGGAGGAGAAGGGCCACATAGTCACCTGTAGGCTGGAGATTGAACTAAGCCTGTGAGGCACAGGGACTTGGGCTGTGTGCTGTAGGCAACAGTCGGCTAATTAAAGCATGGGGCTGGCCTGGAAGGAGCAGAAAGAAGTAGGAGAGACAGAGACGTGTGGTGTTCGACAAGGTAGGTGTGAAATGCTGTGTGTGAGTGTGGTGCTGGAGAGGCTGCCACCTGAGGAGTGAGGCGGCCCTCACAGAAGAGGCAGCATTTAAGTGGGGGGCCTTGCATAGTAGGTAGGGTTTTGTGGGAGAGGTGGGAGGAAGGGTGCTCATGCTGTTGTGGGATGTTTCACATGCAAAGTCGTGGTGATAGAGGAAGTCAGTCTGGAATGAAAAGGGCAGATTGTCAGAGCCGAGTCCGCTGTGGGTTTGGACTCGAACAGAGCAGAGACAGTGCACAGCAAATCCAGGTCTTCTCTTCAGCAAATGGCCGGTGTTGGTGAGGATGGGCTGCTTGAGGGCAGGTGGAAACTGATGTTGGGGAGGTGATTTCAGCTGTCCAGGAAAATGATGGTAAGGACCCTAATTGCAGCAGGAGGAAGAGGAGGTAGATCCTGTAAGCGCTGGGCTGGGGGCCGAGTGGGTGTAGTGAAGAAGGAGCAGGACTGAAGGGACAGGAATGATACCTTCGAATAGGAAGTCAGTGTTGTGGCATCTCCAAGTGGCAGTGGCAGGGAACCTATAGGAAACGTGATGTGAGGCTGGCACAAGGTCAGGACTAGAGAAGAAGATGTGGTCCCGATCAGGCCGGAGGCATAGCTCAACCCGCAGGACGGGGTCGGCCGGGGAAGTGGAGACTGCCGGCGAGGTGGCTGCAGCAGTGAGGGAGGGCGTGGGCCGTTTTCTGTTCTGGGCCAGAGAGCCTTGCGCGCCTGTGTGTGGGGAGGGGAAGCTGTGAAACTGCTGTGCAAATAAAGAAGCAGGGACTAATGGTGACATCAGAATCCTAAATGTAAGGAGGGGCTCATAACCAAAGGCAGAGACAGGAAAGCAGGGCTTGCCCTGGGAGGACGGGGGAAGGATGAGAAAATAGGGCAGCAGGGAGGACGGTTGAAGTCGTTCCTGGTCAGGGCGATTCATGTCCATCTCAGTCACGTGAAAGGCAGACGCCAAGCTGGGAGTGGCTCTGGGGGCACAAAAACCATGAAGATGGGCCAGCAACTGGAAGCAGGTCACCAGAGTCATCGAAGAAGGAAGGCAGAGTCTTCCTGAATCCTGGCAGGGGTCCCTACAAACCAGGCCCACATTTGTTTGAAAAGTCTGATGCTGGAAGCTGTTTGTTCCTTATTTTCTATCCCATAGATCACAAATCAGTTGGAGAACAGAAGGAAAAAGAAAAAATAAGGGATCAGCACATGAAAGAACAAAGGCAGAGAGAAGAAAGAAGGCAGAGTGAACGACAAGAAGCTTTAGAAAGGCAACGAAGAGAGCTAGAAAAACTGGACCAAGAAACGGTAAGCCATACAAGTGAATTCTCCGTGCCGGTTTCTCCGGGGCGTACCGTCAGTCAGCACCTCGCCCTAGGGCATTGAGTCCTTGCTGTGTCCTGAAGTCCTAGAAGTGCTAGGTGACTCTAAGAGCCTGCCGTAGGCATCCCAACCCCCTCCTTCACCTCAGAGCGGAGAAAGGCTACGTCTCCCACAGCCCTGAGGAGCCTAAGAAAAGGCAGCTTTTGCCAATGTGTGCGCTGTGCGCCTTCTCATCTCGCCCTGAAAACAAGCCTGCAGAGGAAGGTTGCTTTGCTATATGTGATCACCTCTTTGTAAGTGGGGTTTACAGAAGACACTCCCAAAGTCAGCGAGCTGGGCCTAAACGAAGACAGGGGAGGTGACTGCCAGTCCAGGTGACTTCCAGGGGCTCCCCTGCCCTTCTGCCTCTGGTTCACTTCTGGCTTTCTGTGTCCTGGTTCTGGTCCCAGACAGATGGTTACTCTGGTTATGCTTCTCACGCCTGCTGAGTCTTATGTAAATTAATCATCCGTATGGATGTGCCCTGTACTCCTGGTTAATTTGGTCTAAAGCACAGGGCACTTTAGGCAAATTAATCCCTTCCTTCATTGCGATGGCATGTTTGTCCCCCTTTGCCGGTAGCAATGACTTCAATTAAAAAAAATAATTCTGTGGCCTGCAGCTTGTCCATAAAGGACCAGGATTATATAACTGTGTTTTTTAAATTCTTAAAAGTCTTAAGCATGTATTTGTGTATTTCTGTTTGGTGCCTATCGATTTCACAGAGGATTTTTGAAGAATCATTAAAGATTGAAATGGAAAAAGAATTACAAATGAGTATTCAAGAAATGGTAGACAGATCTGTTTGTGGTGAAAGTCCTTTAGAGAAATACATGAAAATCCTCCAGCAGAGTCAAGACCAGAAATCGTCAGATAAGGTGCCAGTGTTGTGGATGGGGCCGTCCTGGGGGTGGGGGTGGGGGTGGGGGTGGGGGTGGGCGCCGAGGGCCGAGGGTGTTTATTTGGAAACCTTGGGACAAGAATCTGTCTTTGCTGCAGACAAACAGGTAGAAACAAAGAAAACCCCAAGTTCAAATGGAGCCTCGAGTCTTTACAATACATCACACTCTTGGTAAAGTCTCATTGGTTTTGCTTGGGTGAAACATTGAAGGGATTTTGGTTTGTCCAATTTTATACAAGTTGGGATGTCTCTCATTATTTTAAGAACAAGAAATTAATATAATGTAACTCCATAAATGAATAATGATTGCATGGGCACTAAGACATAAATATTCCATGTAAGTATGAAGTACTACGGTATATGCACACTGAAGAGTTGGTTTTGATATGCTTGCTAAATTTCATGTATAAGAGTCACCTCTTTTTTAGACTCTTACATTATATACATATTTCCAAATAGTTCTTAGAGAAATCAAAGTGTTTAATGAAGTTAATAGATACCTCACTTCAAAATACTTCTTTCCCCCTCTGTATCAGAGTTCAAAAAAGGTTGTCAGAGACGGTTCCCAAGTGGACACACTGCCATTGAGTGACAAAGACGAAAGGTATCGTATTCCTCACACTGCCTCCGGCAGCCATTACCATGGCTGGTTTTGTCAGTCAAGGGAAATGTTCACACCATTTGAATCTGCCTGTGGGAATTTACTGGATCCATCAAAATTACTGACTTCAAAACAAATCTATCACATTTTTTAACTTGTGAAATTGCTGCTGATACAAATTTTAAGTGAGGGAAGAATCCCCACAAGAAAAGAATGAGAGCATTATAAACATCCTTGAATAAACTTGTCAAGAATTTAACAGATTTTTAAAACTTTCATCTTTCCCTCATTTAGTTTCACAGGCTTTTCTCAAGAAGAACAAGATGATATTTGGTAACCGTGTTTGCTGCCCAGCTTCTGACTAATGTAATATAACGTAAGTAAAGGCACATGAGTTTTCTATAATAAGACAAAATTCAGAATAAAAATTTTATGCATGACTCTCTGGAGGACTCATGCCGGGGGATGATCATCAGAAAGCCTCCACAGGGATCCGGGCGATGCTGCGTCCAGCCCACCGTCTCCTGGACTTGCCACTGGAAGGAGGAGGGAGATGTCTAGGCCGGCATGTGCATACAGTGAGACAACGAATTTCACCGGATCTGTACTGTTGGAACTCAACCAGGAGTTGGGAGGGGTGCAAGCTGTAGCACTCCAAAATCTCATGACTATAGACTATCTACGGTTAAAAGAACATATGGGATGTGAACAGATCCCAGAAATGGGCTGCTTTAATTTGTCTGATTTCTCTCAGACTGTTCAAGTACAGTTGGACAATATCCATCATATCATAGACAAATTTTCACAAATGCCTAGGGTG